ATATATAGAGAAAGAGGGTCAACAGTCTCAAATCAGGCAAACTATGCCTGGAAATTTTGATTCATGGATTCTTCAAATTTAAATCAACAGTTTCTTTTGAAGGCTTACAACCCTGCATTGAAGACTCTTTATTAAAAGTTTAACACCTGTTGTAAAACTAAATGTTTGGTATGTGTTCTTGGACCTTGGAATTTGGAATAGAGAAGGAAAAAGAGGAGAAGCCAAAAGCTCCTAAAACTAACTTTTTCAAAGTTTTTTTTTTTTTTTTTTTCATTAAGAAAGCTACTTTTTAAAAACTTTTCCTTCAAAATTATTTTGATCCAAGTTCTCCTTTTATGAATAAGGGAAACTTAAAAATGGTTATGCCAAACACTACCAAAGTGTCAATTGAAAATATTCATCAATAAGACAATAACTGGTCCATTTTGTAAAGTACGTACAACAGTTTGGTTGTCAACAGCTAAATTAATATATAAGGTATTTTCTAGAAAAATTAGAAGTAACCACTATAACAAAATAATTATTAAGCATAAAGAAAACAACCAAATTTGAAACTTGCAACTTCTTGTCAAAATCAAATGATCACCCTACTGAGTCATTATTTCTCTAGAAGTTCAGCAACAAAAAAGTCTCACACAGCAAATGGAAGAACAGCGGAACATATAATCAAACAAAGTTCAACAGAAGAGAAATACTAAGTTGCAAAACTTATACCGAATCTGCAGCTGCTTGAAGAGTAACATGATCCCCCCATTCACCACTCCTAGTTTCATTGACAACGAAAGAAAAAGGAACTATTAGTTAGCTCAAAAGAAGATTTACATATAGATAAATAGAAAGAGAGAGATAAGAGTGCAAATTATTACTTAGACATCTTCTCCAAATATTCGCTATATTCCATGGGAACATATCCCTCATAAATCTCTGGATGAGACTTCAGCTAGTTAAAAACATCATTCAATAATCAGAATCCAAGAATAATGCATAAAAAGAAAAAAGCAGACATTAAAATTTAGGCAAGCATAATAAAATAAAATCCACTAGACTAGAGTACAAACCTGGTTCACAACTTGTCGTCTCACATACTTGTGGTGATCAGGTGTGTTATACAATTGATCAGACAATGCACGGAACTGGAGAGGAATAAAAAAAAAAAAAAAGAATTATGATTTGATACTTATTATAAAATGGAAACTAAAGATCAAAAACTGATGAGTTGCTCTGCACATGCTGATAAACAAAAATTTTGGAAGGAAATGAATATCTAAAGCAACAAACCTGACAATTACCATCACCTTGCACCATATGCTCCACAAAGTCATATAACTGCAATCTGTTTAAAAATAAAGCGGCTTATCGTACATGAGATAAAATATTCTTTAAATCAGCATAAAACTTAAAGACTCGTAAAAAAAGTATAATCCTTAAAAAGAAGACACATAATGAAGCCTATCTGTTGCAATAGTTTCACCCTAATGGCAATTATTTGGACAATAAAACATGCATCATGACAAAAAATTTATTAGCTTTACACCAAGGAGGAATAATGCTTCTCACTAGTACCTATCCAGAAGCCTTTGATGATCTGAACTTGCTTCATCAATTGAAGGAATTTCTCCATTAATTTTTGGAACATGCTACAAAAGAGGGGAAAAGACCAAATTTTAGGCACCACAGTCCAATGTACAGATCATACAACTGATCAAAAGAATGAACTTTCTAAAATCATACACGTCCTGGATAGTAGGAAGAAAACAAAGAGATAAAAACAATCATTAAAAAGAGAGAGAAATAACAATATCTAGAACTTCCAAAACTGAGCGCTTGGAGAAACCATCACACAAGAATGAAGAAAATAATCTTTTATATACTTTCCAACGCCTCCCCCAAAACTAACCACCATGTATCAAAACAGAAGATTCAAACCAGAAGCTGCTTCTTTCATCATTGCGTAAGAAAACTTGTAAACTGTAGGATTAAATGCTTTGGTAATCCACAATTAAAATTTGAAAAACAATTATGACTTACTCTAAATGCCAACTAATGTAATGAGTAGAAAATGTAGGTCGGAAAGAAGCTTATCACCATAAGTTCACAAAAAAACCAATATGGAACATAATGAATAATCCATTTCATACTTAAGTGACCATTAAAGGTTGCAAACAGCACAGTATATATATTCAACAGCAGATCCAAAAAGAAATTGACAGAAGCAAAGGAGGCTAAACATACAGGAATTGGAACCATCTGGCTCAATCTCCTCCCTATTTCATCATCAAGTGGATAATTGTCGGTAAGCTCCAAGGAGCATTCCTCTGCTTCAGAAGGACTACAACACGATGAACTAGAAGGTTCTAACTCACCAACTCCATCATAGGCATAATCATGACCTGAATGTGAAAAAATCTGATTGAACTAACCAAAATCATGCAATAAAGATAATTCTAAACTAAAAACAAGCACATAGAAGCTTTGTGCCTTAAATGATACCTCCTGAACAATAGTTCATCATTGATGTGTTGTGCCAATTATATGCAGGCTCAGAAGCACGGAACTGTTCTTCATCTGTCTGTGAATATCTTGAACACTCATTAATGTCTAGCCGTGAAAACTCTTCTTGAAGAGCCCGTGCAATGATCTCATCATTCTCTATTTGGTTCCGCTCAGGATCATAATGGCTATGGAAGTAATGTCCATTATAGACATCACCCGTATCATGTTGAATTATGTCACCATAGTATCCAGGACTATAAGCAGGGTCACTGTCAAAAAGATTAATACCCCACTGCACAACGTCTGAATGCTCATATAACCCCATATTTAAGTATTAAACCTGATTACAAATCTGAAAGTCTTCTACCAGAAAATTGTTGAAATGATTCCACACCAGCAAGACAACTGTCAAAATAAGATGTACATTAACAGATTGGACCTTTACCAGTAATTATGAAAATATGATAAATCAAGAACAAATCATGTCATTGAATACATCAGAGTTGGAAGCATGTGTTGTGTGTCCCATTAAAATGAATCATTAAGGATCCACATTAGAGTCATTGATGCAAGTCTGAGAGAATTCGATAAAAAAAAAAAATAGATTGCATAACAGTTAATGAAACAAAAACTGCTACTTGTCCGTCAGGTATAATTTATATAACTATCTGAATTTTTCACAACAAATTTGACAAGTAAATTTTATCTATACAATATCATGACCTATAGGTGATATTTAATATTAGAAGATTTTTTGCTTTTCAGTGTTTTCACAATAGCAACAACTTGCATGGACAAATCAGGATCATTATATTTTATCAACAAAAAAAAATTTCACCAAAAAACCATTCAAGTATAATATATTCCTGCACATTATAGTTTGACGTTGAGTATCTCTAAATGCAATCACAAACACAACTACCTGCTCTAGCATGACTGGCCAAGGAACTTGAGCTAACCTAAGTAATAATACACCCTCATTGATAGACAAATATGAAGTTAATTATTTGAATAACAAAAGTAAATGATGATTGATTTCAACACTAACCAATATTATGAAAGGAAAGGTCTACTTTGTTTTCCTTTCCAGAGAACAAAATAAAATCACCCTCCTCCATGGCTCTGATAAGAAAAAAGAGTGATTTGGAACACAAGGCTCTATCATTCTAAGATTTGGGGAAGAATTGAGAATATCAAATGTACGCAGCCTCAGCCCAATGATAACCAGGTCAAGAGGCAGTAGATTTTACTAGCAGTGCAAGGGCTCAAACTCAGCCCTCTAGGAAAAACCTTTGGGTGAGGTCAAAGTCAATGCCTAAGCAGAGATTAGACTCGTACATAAATGATGTGAGGAATCTTCACGGTCTTACCGACTCACAAACACACAGATGCATATCAAAATAAACCTTACCCAGTGTAGCTTTTGCGTACAACCCATTTTAGAGCATGTTTGGAAACATTCAACATCCAGCAAATCGTGTCCTTGACATAAAAAACGTAAAAGCTAGAACTAGTGGCTTTTAATTTGATGTAAAAAATCACATTCCTGATCTGTTTCCAAACACGCAATTCATTATTGCTACTGAGATCAAACAACTGTTATGTTTTAATCTCTATGGTCGTCTTCTTAGACTTGCTTCATCATCTAAAAGCAAATCACAACCATTCTTGTCCTGATACTATCTGGATCCAAATTAACTATCTCTAGTCCCAGTATATGCATTATAAAATGGGAAAACATGCACAAAACCATTGATTCCATGTATCTGACCACTCTACTCCCCCACAACCACAACTTTAGTGTGAGACAACAGTAGGCTTAGCAATGATGAACAATCGGCAAGTGATGCACCATAATTAAAATCCAAAGCATCCTAAGAAAATATATTTTTTTTTCTTTTAATTCATTAGAATCCAGCAATAAAAAAAAACTCCATCACACCCCTCTAGATGATTGCTTATACCAATCCAAAACAAACCCAAAATTTCTCCAATGGAAAAGGTTCCAACTTGGAATTCAACTAACGACAAAATGATCCACCACTAATAAAGAACCAGAAATTGAACATCAGAAGTAATTAACTAAGCAAAACATCAAAGTTGAGAACCAGCCCACCTCGGATTCAGCACCAACCCAATTCAGACAATTCTGAAGCATTAAAAGAGAAACACAGCAACAGCAATAAACAAAGGGAATCAGAAACCACTGTTGACAGAAGGGAGGTAGGAACGAACCCAATAGATGAGGCCGAAGCATTGAATATTTATGGTAAGAAAAAAGGACCAATAAAGGTGCAGTTCACGCGTTTATATACAGTTTGCCGCGGCGTTAAAGGTCGATCACCTTCTGCTTCATTGTTTTCGTATTTTGAAGCACTGGGCGGCATTTTTTAACGCCTTTCTTTAATCCCCAAAATTTCGTCAACATCTAAATCATAAATTCTCTACCCATTTTCGCCATTCGTCGTGATTTAATCAACAAGATTAAATTTTGTAAGCTTCGAATCTTACAATAAATTATATCTACGGCCGTTAGTTAAGGTTTGGGAATATGGGGCATAGATAATTGAGCCGATGGTTCACATTGATTGCTGAGTAAAGAAGGTATCAGAACCAACGTCTCTGATTGGAGCAGGTTTGTCTCACTATATACAAATAATATTTTGATGGTTTAAATATTTTTTTATTATCTATAATTTCACTAATTTTATATTTTAGTTTTATAGTTTATAATAGAATTTTTAATCTTATATTTATATTTTTTTTAAATGTTATTTTCATCTAAGTAATATGAGTTCATTAAATCTATTAACAGTCATTTATTTAATTTTATGAATGTTGATATATCATTTAATAATTTACTAGTTATCAGTAATTTAACCGTTCATCTGTGCCTCATTTAATTTTTATAATTAATTTTTTAAAATGTTATTTTTATATAAATAATATAAGTTTATTAAATCTACGTAATAGTCACATATTTAATTTTATAAATGTTGATATATCATTTAATAATTTACTATGTAGTTATTAGTAAAATTATAGAAACTAAAAAGTGAAGTCAGTCAAATTATAATAACTGAAAAGGTAATTTAACTTATTTTAAATTTAAATAAAATGCTCTAAAAATAAAATAGGTATCTAAAAAAAATATGTATTGGTGTAAAAAAATTATATATTTGTTCAATTAATCATTCATTATTTATAATAAGTATGATATTTTTATAATTATCATATTATAGATATGAAATATTTATTTAATTTTATTAATAATTAATTTTTGTTTAAAAATTGGATTGATTATATTTTAATATTTTTAGCTATATTAGAATAACAAAACATAATTTAAATATTAAGATTATAAAGAGAAAATGAATTGATATATTCATTTCATAAACATCTACATAAACTAATATGAGTGATATGGTTAACTCATAAATAAAATACCACTTGTTCAAAATTTGAATTAGTTTTTAAAATTATATCCAAAATTCAATAACTAAAATTGGGTATTTTCAGATTTTAGCTTCAATTATTGTTAGTGAGTTTTATATTTTTAATTCATTTTACAATTTATATTAAATTAAATTAGTGTATGAATATTTTTATTTATTTCACTCGAGTAAAGACACTTTTTTCATAATAAATCCACATATTTAAATTTGGATTAAGGTGGCATATTTTTCTTCTAAATTCATTCTTATAAAATTAGAACGATGTTTACTTTTTATTTCTTAATTTTATTATTCGTTAATATATCATTACAATTTTATTTGGTGTGTGTTATTATATTAATCTAACCATATAATTAACAATACATAATTGAGATATTAAAACTTTGTTAATACAATTTGAATGATATTTAATTTTTGTTTAATATAGTAAAATATTGTCCATTTTAAGTTTCGTTCTTATGATTTTATTTTTGGATACCACCTAAAAGATTTTTCTTCCAATAGTAACAATCGTGTGTATACATCTTCTGATTTAAACGATATAGAACTTTACTTGCATCCGAAAAAATAATACACAATTCAATTATACCTAGATTTATGCATTGATAATGAAAAGAAAAAGTGTAGTAGAAAATGTGTTTTTTTGCCCACCTTTTGACAGAAAGCTAATTTACAAAATGCGGTTATGATTTATTAAAAATTATAGGATTGTAAGAAAAATCCATGTTATATTTATCAACTTTTTTTAATAAATTTAAACTAATTAGAAGTGTGTTTAAAAATATATATAAGATAAAAATGTTCCCAGCATTTATCAAGTGGCTGCAACAAGCTTAGTCGGTTTAAGGAAGTATTAAGATTTAAGAAATGCAGCACATGGACATGAAGTGTATCCCATTTTCATATCATAACTTGGTACGTAATTAAGTTACAAATGGTACGTATCATAACTTGTTTATTTATTTATAATTATATTCACTTTTAGCTTTTAACCCTTGTATCTTTACAAATATTCTTACAAAATTAATCATTTAATTATTCTCACAATAAAAAGTAATCACAACGAATTTTTTTCAATAAAATATAAAAAAAAAATATTGTCATCTTTATTTATTGTTATAAATGTTAGAAAGTATTGGATTACTTAAATAGATTTATCCGACTCAATTTAAATTATTCAAAATTCAAAGTTATTTTCCAAGAAAAGAAGATCTAAGGGGAAAAAACAACGTACATAATTTTCTAAGCCACATGCTCATAGTCATGAAAAATATATGCGGGGAAAAAAATAGCCTTGTAAATTGGGTGTTTTCAATTTTTTAATGGAAGAGATTCTTTATATTTATTGCGTGGTCTGCATTGGCATTTAGCGAGTAGAAAACAAAACAGCAACTATCAAATACTTTATTCGTTTTCTGTCATCAATCAAAGTATCAAATCAATATGCCAATTTTTTAAAATTATAGTATTGATCGTGTATGAAGATTAATCAAGATTATTAGTTTGATTTTATCTTGACCACAAGTAGCCAGACATAGTTAATAGTTAATCATGATTATGACTCATGAGTCATGCCGGTTGCAATTTCAGAGAATAAAAGTCATTTGTGATGTGATTTTTTGTGTTTATGGGATGTAAGACAAATAGAAGATAGATATGTATACAGCACTTGCTTACGGTTTCAGTTGATTAAGACAAATGTTGATTGTGATTTTTTATTTATTATTTCATATTTGGTCTCTTAATTTTTATGTAATTTGAATTAAAGATTTTCTCCAATTGGAACTCATATTGAGTTTATCAATTTAATTTCTTTTCTTCCGAAAGCTTCATTAACTACTTGTTAGGAATAAGACACGTGGCCTCACCTGAAACATAGATTTGAACAGTGTACCATATGATCTCGAAAATCATATGACTTGTTACTATTGGTGGATATACTTCAACAAAAATGTTAGTAATTGTTGAACTCACATTTTTTTTAACGAATTGATAGTTGTATAATATTAATTATATATATATATATATATTTACATTCTAGTTATTAATAATTATTATTAAATGTAATAAATAATATGATTTATAAAATGGGCAGAAAAATATTATATAAAATTGTTATATGAATTGTTAAATATGTATTATTATTATTTTATTAATTAAAACTCATTGAATCTACAAAATCAAGATAAATTTATTAAATAAGATGCATAGTGTAACACTGTAAGTTTTATTAATTATTTTCTTTTTAATAATAATTATATGTGATGGTGTTATTAGGTATTGGTGGTTGATAAATTCTGAGAACTTAAGGAATTTTCTTGAGTTTAAGTGGTTTAGAGGTTTTTACTGGACAGGGTTTGATCACGAAAAAAAGAATATATAAGACTTATTTTGAGACTTGAGCTTGATAATTTCATTTCTTATAGAACTTTAGAGAGATAGTAATGAGATAAGTTTTGAAGTTCTTCTTCTTCCTTTTCCAATTTTTCAAGAGTTATAGAAGTTCATTGTTCCAATTCGGAGTGGTGATTTGAAGGCCCAACTGAAGATTTATCATCGTAGTTGTTTCGTTGCTAAGCTAGTTCGGAGACGTCTTTCTTCTTCCTCTTCTTCCTCAATTCACTTTGATCTCGAGGTAAGGGAAACTAAAATTTATTTGTTTGTTGATTGTTGAATTGTGTTGCATGAAATGATTACTAAATGACTGCAATTGTGTTGTTGAATTGTATGAATTTTGAAGTTGGTTTGGGTTCTTGATTTTTCAATGTGAAAATTTTGGTGATTTTGAGAACATGATGTTGCATGTTGTAGTTCTGGTTGGATTTGAGTTGCTTGAAATGTCTATATATGAAATGTAGTGTTGCATGTTTGGTATCTTTTGATTTTCTTGTGGTTTGGGCCATTTTTGTAAATTTGTACGAGCATATTTCACCATTACGCTGAACGCGCCTTCATAGTGTCGTACACAATTTCAATTAGAAAGTTCTCTATCTTAGCTCATGTCAAGCACATGATTAGTGGTATCAAGTATGAGAAGAAAGAATTATTAAAATTAAAATGATGTCAGACGTGATTTGAATAATGTCAAACGTGAAGTGAGAAAATTATTTCTACCGAGATTGGTAGTGCTAATTTTGGACTATCTCAAAGTAGATAATTTTGTAGTTATTAATTATTGACCGACAATCTAAGTTTATATATTATAATTTTTGAATTACTGTTTATACGTATATACTTGTATAATATTTAAGTTGTTCCTACAAATTTTGTACATGTATATATCACTTGTATATCCATAAATTGTCATATATCTATCTTAGTTATATATGTGTTATCCCCTGATAGTTATAAACTATTAAGTGAAAGAATTTGTCTGATGGTTACACGTAATTCACTAAGGTGGGTGTATTGGATTAGGATTTTAAAGGACTTTTTTGGTTAAAAAAAATCCTACGGATTTTAAAAGACTTTGCAGGATTTTCATGACTTTTAAGATTTTACAAGACTTAAAATCAGGATTTTAATGGATTCTGCAAGACTTTTAAATCAATATTTTAATGGATTATGTGGGATTTTGTAGATTTTTGTAGAATTTTTGTGGATTTTTGACATTGGATAAGATTTCAAAAAAAAATTTCATACATTCAAATTTAAAAAGAGTCAAAGACAAAAATAATAAAAAATAATAATGTCTAGATAAATAATAATAATAATAATTCTCTATAATATCTTATCCTTTTAAATAGCATTCACCCATATATTCATAGCTATACTAGTCCTCCAAGCATTAGCGTCTTTTCGTTCTTGCTTCTAGGTTTGAATAATAGGCTAAAAAGTATGATCTTCATTAACGACATTCTTTGCGTAGAAAGTTATGTGTGTCTTAAATAAAAATGGAGGTGCTGACTTAAAATTTGTGAACCTTGATTTAAAAATACCAAATATTCTCTCGATCACATTCTTTAAAGACACATGACGAAGATTGAACAATTCTTTCTCATTTTCAGGGTCATTACCCTGACTTGCAAAATCTTGTAGATATCTTACACCTCGAA